TCCAGACGAATTAGAATATCAAAGTAGAAAGAAAAAATGCCTATAGCCTATTCTCCTGCACAGCGTATATTTTTGTGTTCTTTTATTTTGTTACGATTTTTTAGTATCTACTAGGTACATAGTATTTGCAATCGACTACAAAAAGGAGGTTCTCGATTCTGCTGTATTTTTTTAGTTTTTATTTAGAACTCCGTCATTTATTAGCCTATTTAGTCAATTTTAATTTTATTTGAAAGTGTATACTTCCAATTTAGTCTCCTTTAAATTTGAAAAAATATCACTCCTAAGGGTGAAAAAATAGCTAATGAAAGTTTAACCTACTTCTAATTGTAATTGTGACTTGAAACTTTGCAAGTGTTTCTATCGCCGTTGACAGTGCAGTGGTTCGGTATCTTCTACCTTATCTGATAATAAGTCCAGAAGGTGGATAGGTGGAACTCTTTAACGGCTAATGTATTGTATTTCTTTAATGCGATCTTATTGTCATGTTGATTTGGAAATGGTTTTTAGAATGTAATAATGAAATAATGATGAAAGTTCTACTATGGGTCAATAAATAATATCAATAAATAGTTATTGAGGAAGGCACGACCCTCAGTAGAACTAGAGGCGAAATAATACATAAATAAAACTAATTTCAAAATATACTAATGAATAAAAACAAATTTTCTCACTAAATTATTACACTTCTTTTCTTTCAACGTCAATTACAAGCTTATTTAAGCATTTATTGTTGAGATTTAGATAGGATTTTTGCAAAATTACTGATTTATGACTAAGATTTATTGATAAAGTTTCAAAACAAATCAAATGGCTGAGTTTGTTTAGTTATGTCGATGTTTATCGATCAAATCAAAATACTCGCCTCTTGATATTCTGTCGTGAGCTGCATAAAACATTAAAATTATATGGAAATAATGTTTAGAGGAAGTCTTGGTAAATTATAGATCTAAATAAAAGTTTTCGACACTACATGTTACATACATATTAGGAATAAATAGCAATAACAAATCGAATACCTTACAAAACACACGGTAGATTCACTTAAATGTATTTATTTATATATTTAATTCGTAATAACAAAGTTGTTTTATTGATTCAGAAAAGTATTTATTTACTGCCCTTGTTTAGCATGGGAGTTTTTAATTCTTACCATATATCTATACTTACATATAATAAAATTATAACTAAGCCGAATCTGTACATTAGATATTTTTTTGGAAAATTTTATTGCAATAGACATTACTATCGATACAGAGGTTTAATCTATATAAATATAATATAAATATAAATAAAAATTTGGTATGGTGATAGCTGGTTATCCAGGTCAACATATAGGATACTTTTTACTGCGATTTTTACTTTAAAATATCTCATCTCTGAGAAATCTATACTAAACGTTATTTAACGTAAGTAGGGACGAACCCGAGCGGAGTGAGGGTGAGTCGCTAGTAAAATATATTATTCTATGTTGTATGAGTTTTTATTGACATACCTATCTCGTATTATGTCATTCTCGTAGTAGCGAGAAAAGTGTAAAACAAAGTATAATTAATACCAGCTTAGTAGCTGTGTGATGCTCGCCAACAAACAAATAGACATAACTTCTTTCCCCTGATATGATATAAGCTTTCCAAATATTATTATTTTTGTGGGACCATGGGAAAGAGAAAATGTGATAACAACAACATCATATTTTTTATTAAATATTATGCAGCTATAATCGGCTTATTTTACTGATTTTTTGAGCGCGATCGATTAGATTTGGAAAAGTCTATCTAACATCACGTTATACTTAGAAGCGAAGCACTTATATATAAATAAACGCAAGTGCAGCCACAGGCAAAACCTAGAGTATATAATAGAAATAAACTAGCAAGTTATATTTAGAGTGTGCTGTACGCGATAGTCGCGAGCAAAAGTAAAAGTTAGCTAGCGGGGTACGGTGTTCGGGGCAAGGGAATAGCGGAAGAGTATGATTGCTTTTACTCTCGCGAGTGGAACTTAGGTACTTTCAATTTCTATAATTTTAATATTTGTGACCTGATATTTAAATAGTTTTCGTATAGAAATTATATATATATATTCTATATATCTACAATAATATCTATTACTACACTATAGTGTTGTTTCGCTAATTTTTATTAGCTTTGGAATATTATTCTGAATCAGTTTTATAATATTTTGCGAGCGTTATAAAGCGTTTTTTAGGAAATACCATTTTTCTTATCACACGCTAAGGTACACTTTGTTCTCGACTGTTTAATATTAATTTTTTTACTACATAATAAACGTATACAGGTTTGAAATATTTGTATATTAAAATGTTTAAATCTAAGATTAGAATATTATAAATTCATTTGAGATGTAGTATCGATAGTGTTGTTCCGGATATTATGTTTTTGTGTTTAATGACATTCAAAAAACAGGCTGCAGTGAAATCTACGATTGGCCATAGATCCCTTTATGCTAATGCCTTAATTTAATTGACGATTGTATCAAGTTCACTTTGTGACGTCTGAATCGATACTATATGGCTTGATAAGATGATATTCTACATTCGCTAACGTTAATAGAAACAAAATTTCTGAATAGAGATGAGACGAGCGTTATATCGAATAGTCAGAATATGTCTATTCCATAGGTATAGTTTTTAGTTTTCTTTTAACGATATCGTTTGTAGAACCCGTTGTATAGAGAAAACATTTATTGGCACTATTTATGTGTCCATAAATAGAATAATAAGAATAGTTAGTCCAAAAAGAGAATAATTTTAATTAACTACACGTATATGACGTATAGCATCCAAAAATATTAAGTTTCTTTATAAATGACTTTTTACCTTATTTTTGCTTTCCTTAGCAAATTCTTTATTATTGTTTAATATAATCTGAAGCCAATAATATAATAAATTGTGAAATTTATACACAAAGAAAAATGATACTGTTCTAGCATACCTAAAAACAAAAATAATTCAATATTATTTGCTACTTCGTGTGAATAAATAAACAAAAACCCTATCCGGAAACAATAATTGGCCTTACATATTAAAAATAAGTTAAATTTTCCGCACTGACCCCTCAATATCTCGCGACATTGAATAGTATTACATATCTCAGGTCACAGAGATCATAGCGGTTGTGATAAAATATAGGCATTGTCAAGTTTTAAAAGTAAAAGTGGTTTGGACGCGGAAGACAGCGGGGGGAGTCGGAGAAAGTAGTTAAAAGGTCGCCACTTTTCCCCAAATATTCGGAGTGAAAGTAGCTACGCTCGAATTGATCAAAATAACTTGCCCAACCTTATCTCTGTAGGCTCTGTAAAATTGGGCTTTCGGACTTTTTTTTCTCATATATAACTACGAACGCGAATATTTAAATTATTCTGCACTAAGTTTTTATCATGCAGAATATTATATTAATGGAATGATTATGAACACTTTTTCTATTATGAATATGGCAAATAAATGTATATAAATACAAATAAATAACTTTTTACCACTCCACAAAGGAAATTAAAATTTTAAATTAATTTTTACTTATAGAAATTTAAGGAGCAGATATATACGAATATTATACTTCTAATGTAATTATAGTGTAAAAATAAAATTCGTACAATTATTTATTTCAAACGTGATTATTTCTAATTAATATTGTTTAGTAAATATGACACGTGTATGGGTGGCATTGCTTATTACGGTGGAGGTCACCTGTTCAATTTCCGCGGGAGTAAAATTGTATGAATCAATATCTAAAGACAAGAAATAAGAACGGAGAGCTGACGTATGTCAGAGTTCTCTATTTACTTAGCCAGGTTAAATTAAAAAAATTATATAGCAAACACTACTTTATGTATACAAGATTATTATTCTACAGATAATGAACAAAGCAAGAAATAAAATTTTCATAGCTTTTTAGTCATTATTACGCTATAAATTGGTAAATAAGTCGTAATATTGTTTCCTAACAGTACATAGAATAAATTATTTTTTAGTTTTTCTCTAACACGTTATACTTAGCAAGAAAAACGTAAATAATATATTATAAAAATTAAAACTTTTTTCATATCTATATATTTTATTACAAAATAATCTGTTGGGAATGCAATTTAAGGTTCCGAGTTGTTTAAAAAAGAACCAAAAACCGTTAAAGAACTTTCACAAGAGGCTCACTTCCGCGAGTTTACATGCGAATATTTTATTCATTATATAAATCAGTTATAATTAAAATTAATTGATGCATAGCAAGATTCGTATACACATTTATGCTAACCTTGTCTGTGTGTGATCCGATGACAGTGTATGGCTTCTTCATCGCTTCCTATCGATACAGTTAATGACGTCACGTGGACACAAGGTGGTCACTAATTTATCTATCTCTATTAAATCACTGTTTTTATCATAATTTTTCAGCTAATTTGTCATTCCAACATCTAAAATTAGAGAATATTGCTTAAATTTTCCATTTGCTCTTTTTACTAGTTAATTATTTGTTTATGTTTATTTGCGTCAATTAAAGATTAATATAGCTCATACATTCATATGATAAGGAATAGACTAATTTGCGCTCTGACCTAGTGAACCAATGCGATGTGCCGGTAGCCAGTGTTTTGTACGGCACGCATAACGAACTAGGGCTTCCCCATACCACTTTAATCGCCTTACTGTCCGGATACGCGGCTTTCCGCAAACCTAGGCCTCACGTTAATAATCTGCTTTACTCTTTCTTTAGCACATGTGAAAAGAAATCTCAAGAATGACAACCACATGACATTAATGCAAATATTCTCTAATAAACATGCAGCTAAATTTTGAATCTCCATACAAATACAACAATATTAAAGCAGAATATGAAATCTGACATACCCATAAAACAGAATAAACGTAAACGTAAACCACAGAGAAGAGCGCAAAAAACCGACGAAATTTCGGACAAAATAACCAACCACTTTCTCTTTCGCCTTGGCTAGAGAAAGTCCGAATTTTAAAGACTGACCATTCACAAAGACATGCTGTCTCCAGATGTGGTACTGGTTCCATCGGTCCTCATCCTGGGGGTGTCCATGCTGTAGTTGCGGCAGTGTTGGAAGCGGAGGAGGTGGCGCAGGTGGCAGCAGCTGTGGCGGAGGTGCCGGGGGCCCGAGAGGCTGGACTGGCTGGTGTTGGTACTCCATGGGTACGTCACTGATAACACATCGCGGGGCGCGCGATAGGCGCGGCGTGCGAGCGCTGCGGCGGGCGGCGCGCGAGTCACTTCGCACCGAACGACTCGTGCCTTCCCCCCTCCATGGAGGGGGTAGGCTAATGACATAATCACTCTCGCCAATGATAACCGATTATAACATGCGCACGCACTTTGTAAACAGATCTTAACGTCCCATGTAAGCTGTCAATGGACAATGACCCACATTCAATAACTGGCAAATTTCCTGAAAGTTTCAGTTTTAACTACATATGGTCTGAGCTTTATTTTTATTTTATCTTAATAGGAACATTTTTCTCATATAAATCCAATTTCTATATATCATTAAATTGATTATAACTTTTAATAGTGAAAAAGTTAAGTAAAATGTCATGTTTCCTAGTGGAATATACTCGTACTTCGCATGTACCTGGAACGGCGCGTTGAATTCTTCCGTACCGTAGAATTAGAGACTCAAATTTCGTTACTGTTGACGCGTATATTTTAATGGAAAGTTCATCTTAAATCCATTTTTTTTTATTGACATAAATTACTTATTTAGATGATTATATAGAAAATTGTGAAAAAAAAATATATAAAATCAGATCCGCATCAGTATCGAGGCATGCCATAACAAACAGGTGTATCGTTATCGGAATTACAATGGTGTTTTTGTCCACCAGATGTTCAGCTCAGCTTCCCTTTGTTTAAACTTTGAAACAATATTTCAACGATAGAAAACTTCAACAAGAAATTATTTCGTAAACATTTGAAAAGGTGAAGGTTTAGGAAACCTAACAATGCTTTTTTCCATTGTTTCTTTTGTTTTAGGCTATTTTTCAGTGAATTTTGCCATTCACTTTTTAATTTGCTCATGAAAATTTTTTGAAGTTATGTACTTATTTTTTACTTTCAAGTAATGCGCAATTATACATACAAATTTCCAGACTTTTCAAACCCCTTACGTAGAAATATAGATTGGAATAAACCACTTATATAACACAAACAAATAGGGTGAAGCTAAATTTTATATTAATAACCGTTCTTTACCGCGCTTCAATAAAAAAATATAATTTGGTATAGTGGACACCATTCAGATATTTTAAAATACAAAAATATATATATATAATGCACATTGTAGCTATTGGAAGAAATTCGTCTGTTTCACGACTAGAGAGGTTAAACAGGAATTGTGATTGATTTGCAGAAAACATTCGTCTAAAAAGGGCCAGTTAAAGTTTCTATGTAATACAGTTTATTTGTTTATTGTACAGATTTTTACAGAGCTGATTTAAATCATCTGATAAAATTTCGATAGAATTTTCTCGTTAATGCCTTCTGATTAACAATATCCGTCAACTAAATTACCTATAATTTGTCCAAATATAAAAGTGGTACAACTGAACCATTTTATTCTTGACTAGCATTGCCAGCGGCTCCGCCCGCGCTCACATGACCAAAAACTAAATTCTTAGTTTTTACATATTAGTATACTCATACATTACAGTTTTTGTATTTTTTCTCAGAAATAAGATATTTTCCTGCGGTAAAAAGTATTCTAGTTGTTGATCCGGATAACCAGCTACCACCATACCAAATTTTATTAAAATCCCTGCAGTGGTTTTGCTGTGATGCGGTAACAGACAGACAGACAGACAAGCAGACGAAAATTCTAAAAACTATAGATTCGGCCTCTGTATCGATAATAATGTTTATTTCAATAAGATTTTCCAAAAAATATTTAATGTACAGATTCGGCGTGGTTATAATTTTATTATATGTATAGATAACTTTAATTGATAATTTACTAACTTTGTAATATAATAGAAGTGTCCGCGGCTCCGCCTGCGTTCAGACTACCGAAAACCAAATTCTTAGGTTTTACATCATCTTTAATATCATAAATATTAGTTTTTGTTTGTTGTTTGAAAGTGTTTGTTTGTTATTTATCAGATTCAATTGCACCGCAAGATTAAACAAAAAAGGGGCGGTTAGATGCAATGCCACAAATGTTCATCTTTTAAACTGTTAATTTTTATATGTTAATTTAAATAAATATCAGTTTAAAATATGAACATTTTACTTTAATAAATATTGCAATTTTCGGATTAAAAACTAAATTTTTAGTATGTCTATTTTATAATAAAGTGGAAATAATTATTTTTATTTTAATAGTTTTTAATTTTTAGTAGTTTTTAGTATTTGTCAATTTTCGTATACGTTCGTTTCTAGTTTTTTTGTTTTAAAAGTATTACTCTAGCTTTAAGTGTTCTTAGTGTTTTAAGTGTACTCATGCAATTTATAAACGTGAGTAGAATATTTTTTTAATCTAAGTGCATTATTTATTTTCGATTAAGTGACAGTACGACTTGGATAACGTAGGTTGAGAAGGTTAAGGCGGAAGCGAAACGTAGCGTAGCACCCGACTTAGCCTTCCCGTTAGGTCTTTTTTTTATTTCAAACCCAGAACCCCTGCTATTAAAAGTGCTTTATATTAATTTTAAATTCGGTGATAGATTCGACTTGGATAACGGAGGTTAAGAAGGCTAAGGCGGTAGCGAAGAGTAGCTCAGCTCCTCAGCGCTTTTATTTCAAAACCAGAACCCCTGCTATCATTAGTGATTTATGTAAATTTAAAATTCGGTGATATATCTGACTCATTATTTGAAGATCATTTTGGCACTTGGAAGTGACATCTTGACACTTCCAAGTGTCAAAATGGCAGTAATATCATTATAATGTATGGAAATACAACATTTCCAGCTTTAAGTCTCAATATCTTTAGAATTTTGTTTCCTCAAAATACATTTTATATATTTGGACTCCCTATCGCCTCCCCTATCCAAAAATACCAATTCTCCAGGGGCCGCGTCGCATACACTAAACTTCAGCCTCTAATCTATTCGAAACTTGGTATCCCATTACTTTAATGACATTGCAACGATATGCTGGAATCTGCAAGATACTCAACTCTTTACTAGAAAACATTGCAAAGATATCGTGCTTAGAGTCATTGAAATGGCTTCAATGAATAGGTTATTTTATTAGTTTTTGTTTAGTTTGTAAGGGTTTCCTACCTCAAAAAGTAAAAAAATGCACCCTTATAAGATCACTCTTTTGTTCGTCTGTCTGTCCGTGTGCCACCACCAATTTTCTCAGGAACGGGTGGACCTACCAAGTTGAAATTTATACCTGATACTCTTAGGTCTATAGTCCCTATTAGGTGTATAAAAATCAAGGTCCTGAGTCAACACGATAAAAAGATATGGGCAAATTTAGATTTTTGCGAAAACTTGTAAATATGAAGATTTACCTTAATTTTCATTTTTTTTATATAAGACTTTCTATAAGACCTTGCTTTAAGTCAAAATTGACAATTCTAGGAAGTACCCTATAGGTTTTGGGTCGAAAACCTAAATGGTAGTAACAGTAATATATTAGTAGTAGTAATCACGAAATTTGGCAAAAAGCAAGGTCTACAGCACAAATAAAGGAAAAATTCCAAGAAATAAACAACTTGAAAATTAAAGTTAAAGATTTCCTGCAAATTTGTACGGAACCCTCGGTGGGCAAGACCGACTCGCACTCGTCCGTAATTTTCAAGCTAAAGAGTTTTTTTTATTTGGTTGATTGGACACAGGTGGGACCGCAGCTAATGTTAGTATTTCTAATAAAATTATAGAAAAGTATAAGTATATAAGTATATCCTTACAATTTTTTTTTTTTGTAATTAAAATTACATATTTAAAAAACACATGGGACAACTAGTAATGATTTTCTAAATTACACCCACAGACATTACAACCAATATATTGTCTGTGATTACACCTAACAAAAAATTGACGAGTTATTTTTATGTATAAAATATCGCTATTGATTTTTTTTTTCAAAAGAAGCTATATAATTATTTTCCATTCTAACAAGTTTTTGTATTGAAAAATTTTCCCGCAATATAAAGGATAACCAGCTATCACCATACCGAATTTCATCAAAATCTGTCCAGTAGTTTTTTCGTGATGCATTCCAGGTTCCAGACACAAAATTGAAACTATAGATTCGGCCTCTGTATCGATAATAATGACTATGTAAATAAGATTTTTCAAAAAATAATGTCCAGATTCGGGTCAGTTAGAATTTTATTTTATGTATAGATATAGATAAAAGATGGAACACTTCTTCTATGACTGAACAATAAGTGCAAAATCAATTATTTATACATATATTACATACTACTATACCAGTGTTTACTTGGCTACGCTCACATGGTAATGGGGCAGGGATAAGGAATATCCCTGAATAACACTAAAAACCTAAGTCTGTCTTCACAATGCAATCTTTTCCAAATTTTATCAAATATGGTTAACATTTTAAACTTGAAAAGGTACGAGAAATTCAAAGTTACTTTCACATTTATAATATTAGTATAGATATATAGTTTAAAATAAATAAAAAAGTCACACGCTGTCGACTTCGAAAGAAAAATAGCGTGAAGTAAAAAACCAATTATACTCGTAATTGACTATGCGATCACTTTTTAAAGACTATACGTAAGAATCACAGGTGTAAATATCGTATAAATGTCGGTGGCATGCGCGTAGATTATATAATATTGTTTACAAAACATTACATTAGCCATATGGTCTATGATAGTATCATTAGAATAATTTTATGTACTCAGGGCAAAAGTAAATCAGTCCTACAGAAATATTTTGCAATATATTAATTTTCAACGGAAATCGTAAGAATTTATTAATACAAAAAGTAACCTATCTCTGTGTCTTTTACATATTTTATATGTAATAGATACATACCCCAAACAAAGAAAGGAACTAAATATTACCTTTTTGTTTAAAAACAGTTTCATTTATTTCGACTAAAATATGAAATAAAATGATATGATCTAATATAACTATATAAAAAGTGAAGAAATTTGGAATAAAGATATTACATTTCTACAATAACGGAATATTTAATTAAAAAACGAAAGTTAATGGGACGGAGATAGTTACCATTGTTACAGTAATTAATGCAAAGAATAATTTACATACTTACAAAATTGTTACAAACCAACATCACGATTTGTAGAATATATACTTTTAAAACGCTATGTATTTAGCCTTTTTTTAAAG